CTGGGTTGGGAAGAGCCCCTGGAGGAGAGAATGGCAACCCACTCCAGTATTCTTGCCTGCAGAATCCCCAAGGACAGAGGAGCCTGATGCGCTACTGTCCATGGGATCACAAAGAGTTGGACACGACTGAGCGACTAAGCACAGCAGAGTTTGTACCATATGCTGTACTGAGTACTTCCACAGGCACCATCCCAGTTAATTTTCACCAAATCTTGATGATGTAGACAGCCTTACTGTCATTAGAGAAAACTAAAGCTTAGGAGGTTAAGCTATTCCTTCAAGGCCATACATCTAGAACGGATGAGGAGTTTGGACCCACACTGATGGGAAGCCTAGTTCTTAATTACTCGTTTCAGTACTGCCTCTGGTTTGTGGGCACTCCCAGGTGGCGCTAGTGGTCAAAGGAAAAAAAAACCAAAAAAACCCCGCCCGACAGTGCAGAAGACGTTAAAACATGGGCGTTCGATCCCTGGGTCGGGAAGATCCCCTGGAAGAGGGGACAGTAACCACTCCAGTATTCTTGCCTAGAGAATCCCAGGGACAGAGGGACGCTGGCGGGCTACAGTCCATGCAGTCGCAGTCATACACGACTGAAGCGACTTGGCATGCCCCAATCCTACCAAGCTGCTGGGACCAGGTACCACCGACACGGCTCAGGCTGAGGCTCCACGTGGGACGTGCAAGTCGCGGCAGGTGGTAAGTCCATCTTCCTCAACTACGACTGGAAGATCAGTTTCCGGAAGAGGCCAGAGGGAGGTGGAGCTAGTATCTTCTGCCCGCCCCTACCCAAGAACCCTGCAGGCAGCCAGCCTTGGGCACCTAGCGATTGCCAGCCTTCTGCTGGGCTAACTTTCGTGGCAGGATTGAGTTCTCTGTGAGGTTTTGCACTGCAACTAGCAACCACCGATATCAAGTGTTGGAAAGTCCTCTGATGGATTTAGTTGACAATTTTCCAACTTTGGCGAAAGCCATCTTTATTCTAAGTCTCTCAGGGATATTTTGAATTTCTTCTACTTTCTTAGAACTTGTGCAGCCTCGTTAGGGAAGAAAGTTCGATGTGCATGCAGCCTGCATACGAGAAGTGGTTGGAAAACATCCTGGACTCATGTCCAGAAAGGACAATCGACTGCCGAAATGTGGCAGAACCGCCCCGGAGCTAGGACCCAGGCCCTCCGTGCTTCCAGAACTTACGTCACCAGGACTCCGCCCCCGGGTAGGCGTCTGAGCCGAGTGCCCGCAGGTTTCAAACCCTGCCCGCGCCCCCTGGTGCGCATACTCTGTTAGACCTTGTAGCCGCACCGCCCACCCAAATCCTAGGGGAACCCCCGCCCCTTACTCCCGGCGGGTGTGCTCGAGGGGGAAACTGAGGCAGGGAGTATGCTTGTGGGTTCGTTCCTCAGTCCACACCCAAGGGCCTGCAAAGCTGCCTCTTGCCCCTTAGACCCGTCTGAACAGCAGGGAAGGACGGGGGGGGAAAGGGAGGGGTCCCAAAGCAAGCGGGGTCTAAGGAGCCAGCCGGTCCTGCCACACTCAAGATGGCGGCGCGGCAGCGGCGAGGTCCCTCAGAGGCGGAACCAGCGCATGCGCAGCGCGGAGTCCCGGCCCGGGACACAAGATGGCGGCAGCGGCGTTGGGGAGGGCGAGGCGGAGGCGGCAAAACGGGCGGTCGAGCAGAACGTGTAACCGCGTCCCCTCGAGTCCGCTGCGGGCAGGTAAGAGCCCCAGGAAGCCATGGTCCCGCCGCGAGCCGCGCCAGGGTCCGAGGTTCCGAAGCGAGGCGGCGGTGGCCCCTCCGGCGCTTTCCGCTTCGGGCTACCGCTTGCCCCGTCTTTGCCGCCGCCGCCATCTTAGGCCCACGGATGGGCGGCCGAGCCGGTGGCCTGGATGAGCGAGTTGGGTCCGGAGAGCGCGGGTGGAGCGGCCTCTAGGGCCTCTCCGCTGCTGCCGCCGCCACCGCCTTTGTGTCGGGCTCCGACTCTGAGTCGCCTCAGCCCGGGGGCGGGAGCGCGCGGCGGGGCGGGGGGCGGAGCCCGGGAGATGGGCTGGCGCGCGCGCGCCAAACAGCCCGCCCCCGCTGGAGGGTAGGGGGAAGGTGTGCACGCGCTGGGAGTCGGCCCACCCCCTCTTTCGCGCTACCCTCGCGCCTGCGCACTTCGGGAGCCCTGTGACTCCTCCCTACTGGGTCGGAGGAGTCTGATTGGTGCGTTACTGAATGATCCCGCCCCATCCTCCTCCAATCCTGGAGTCGGAGTCTTTTTTCCTTCTGGTGGGTTCCTCTGGTTGCGCAGATTCAGTTGTTTATCCTTAAGCTGCTGGCCCTGTTGAACTGCGGTATGCGTGGGGGTCGGGAAGCCACAGGATAAATAAAAACGTTCTCTTAGTAATAGCAGTTATTTCCTACTGAGAGTGTACAATGTGCTAGGCTCTACGCATTGAGACCGTAGAGGCCGAATGATTCTTGTTAGAAGTCTTAAAATGGCAGAAGCGTGTGGAACCGGGGTCTGTCCAAACCCAGAGCTGGTTTTTAGCCACCGACCTGCTGTATCCAGATCACCTGGGGAATTAAAAAGCTTTTTAATCATAACAAAATTGGTGAAGATTTGAAGTGGTGTAAAGTGGGAAAATTAGTGATCCGGTTTCCCAGCCCCACTCTTTGGGGGGGGGGGTGCGTGTGAAAAATGCAGATACTTGTATACCGTCCCTCCCCGTTTCTCTACGATGTGGAGTGAGGGACAGGAATCTGAGGGTGTTTTAAACAAGTTCCCTGGTGTTTCTGATGCACAGCTGGTTTCGGAAACACTGCTGTGTCATGGTTTGACCTCACTAAACGTTGAGGCCACTAAACTGCTTGTTCATTCTCTGCATAGTTAACCTACTTGGTGCACCAATATCACACAGTATTGCTTGGAGAAAAATATTTCAATAAAGGTGAACACGCTCTGTTGTTTAATGCATTTGCATGTTTTATTGTCTTTAAAGACCTGATTCAAAGAAATGTGTTTTTTCACTCACTGTAGGTGGCTTGGGGCCATGCCCACCCCTGATCTGCGATATGTTTGTTCACTTTTATCTTATTACTGTGGTTGGCCAGACCAGCTTACAATTTGTGGCATCAAATGTCCACATGAAAGCGCAGGCCCTTTGTTAAATATTTATTAAAACTGTGACAACCGTCAGAGCAGAGCATTAAAGCAGGCTCGGGGCTCTCCTCAGCTCGGCCCTGGGGAACTGTGTGGGCTGCAAGTCCATGAAGGTGAACCTGTTGGTTGTTGAGAAACGTGAGAAGTGCTGTTTTCATCCCCTGAATCCCCATGTCTCCTACAGTGTGTCCTGCCCTGTCCTGGGGGCTCCCAACGTGCTCTCTCCTTGCCTCTTGTGCCGTTGTCCCCGTTCTACAGCATTTCATAGGTCTGCGATTCTTTTCTTCTCTTTGCTCTGCAGTTGCTGATGCAAGGAATCCCCTGGGCCCCCGTCCACTCCACTGCTGACCAGCCCATCCTCCTGCGCTGTGCTTTCCTGCAGGCCCCCCCACCCACTGCCTCTGCGGGACCCGGTGACGTGGGGGTCCATCTGGCCGGAGAAGAAAACCCTCTCATGCTAGCGTTGCAGACCCCAGAGGGTGAGAGAAAGAGGGACCTTGTTCAGCCTTGAGACCTGGGGGTCTGCCCTAAGGCACAGGGCATCCTTTTCCCCAGAGAACCAAGGAAGCTTCCCTTGGTCGGTAGTTCCAAACCTTTTTGTTATCCAGGCCCCCTTTTGTTGTGTATTCTCTTGCTCCCTGCATTTTTATCTGTCAAACCGTACAGACAAAGTGACCACTTTGCCTTTTCCAAATTAACAATGATGTCTATGACTGAATGTACAATAAAAACCACCACCCAATGATTGCTATGCTATTGTCAACAACATCAGAGCTTCTGATCATCATGAAATAATCAATGCGACCACAATGAGTTGATAAAATTTCAGCAGCAGAGAAAAACCAATGTTTAACTATGCCTTTGTGGTCTTTTTGTGGGTAAACGTTTGGTTTCTTTTGGGTGTAATGACACTGAAACAACTTTAGGAGCATCAGCCTGATCTCAGCTGCCCCCAGGAGTCTGACAGCGGGTTGGGAACCACTTTGGCCACTGAGGCTTGTGGCAGGTGTGCTTTGGGTGGGGTAATAGGGAATGCTGATCAGAAGGAGCTGACCCTCCTGTAGGTGTTTAAAGTAAGTTTTCACCTGGGGATTATGAAGGACTGAACTCTGTATTCCTTCTCAGCCTTACTGGTTCTTTTAGCAACAGATTTCTTCCTGCTTTGTAGTTAGGAGGAGGCATCTAATTCAAGGCCATACTCCTTCCTGGGCTGTGCTGTGTTCCAGTTAGATTTTACTGGGTAGGAAAAGGGAAGAGGAGCAGCTGCTGCTGCTGCTTATGGGAACAGCTTTCTCAAGCGCAGACCCTATTTCGTCTTGTCTGCCACTTTTGGTGCTCTGTAAACATTTGCAGAATGAATGCTGGTCCCTGGTACCATGCTGAGCGCTAGAGAGTGCCAAACTGGACCCACTTCTGAGGCCTGGGAGTTCTGACAGTCTAATGGGGTGGGGGCAAACTGAGTTGTTGGACCAGAGGATTTGAGTGCTACAATCCTAGGGGGGACTCTGACCACCTAGCCTGGGGAAGGGAGGGAAGGAAGGGTTCCTGGAGGATGGAGGACCTAGTGGTAAGCCAGGCAGAGACATGGGGAGAGTATTCCAGGCCAAAAGAGCAACAGAAACGCCCCCATTTGACAGTTGAGGGAACAGTAACTTAGACCTGAGGCTCCTGTGGCAGCAGACTGGCCCTCCAGTATGGGACTAGATCGGCTTCACATGTGTAGGTGGTCACTGGGGCCCTTGGTGGATTGTAATTTGGGTGCAGTTGTGGGGAGCCAGGTGGGGCGGGGTTGACCTCCACGCCCTGCTGGCCCTGACACCTTTCAGTCCTCTGTGTGGCAGGTCCGGTGTGGGTGCTGAGATGGCCAATGAGAATCACGGCAGCCCCCGGGAGGAAGCATCCTTGTTGAGTCACTCCCCTGGCACCTCCAGTCAGAGCCAGCCCTGTTCTCCAAAGCCCATCCGCTTGGTGCAGGACCTCCCAGGTACTGGCGAGGGGCCGTGGCGGGGCAGTGGGGTCGGCAGGGTGCCCAGGAGCAGCCGTGACCCTGGCTGGATTCCATGCTTGTTTGCAGAGGAGCTGGTGCATGCAGGCTGGGAGAAGTGCTGGAGCCGAAGGGAGAACCGCCCCTACTACTTCAACCGATTCACCAACCAGTCCCTGTGGGAGATGCCCGTGCTCGGCCAGCACGACGTGATTGTGAGTGCAAGCCTTGGGACAGGGCGGGGGGTGTCTCAGCAGCTTCTGGCATCTGGGCCTTTCCCAAATGTACCCTGAGCAGCTGTTAACTCACCTGGCACTGTGTCAAGGCCAGGGGACACAGTGCCCAGCAAGACAGACACACAGTCCTGCCCGCCTGGAAGCTGTCCTCCAGTAGCAGAGACTGTCTGACACAGGAAGATGATTCTATGAGTGGGTGGTGTTGAACTTGTGTTGCATGTTGGGCACTGTGCTTGGGATGCGGTCGTGAGCAAGGTAGATCTGCTCCTGCCCTTGCCTGCTGGGGGCGCCCAGGGACTGCACGAAGAACAGGGTCAGAGCCCAGCAGGGATGCCGAGCGGGTCTGGGGAAGCAGGGTGGACAGGGAAGGCTCCCTCAAGAACCAGCGTGTAAGGTGAGGTTAGTGAGTGAAAGTGGGAAACGGTGAGCAGTACTGTCTGGGAGCCCGTGAGGACGTGATGGGGACGTGTGGGTGCAGGCCGTCTGTCTGGGTCCCTGTCACTTGGAGCAGACTTTCTTTTCTGGGCACGGTCCACCCCCATTTTGCAGATGAAGACACTGAGGCTCAGAGAGGGGAAGGGACTAGCCCAAGACCTCAAAGCAGTAAGACGCAGAGCAGGACTTGCACCCTGCCCACCGTCACACTCATACTCTCGGTGTCACCACAGGAGTTCCAAGTGTTTAAGTTTCCCCTTTCTTCCTGTTCTGCTTCTTTCTTTTTGGCTGTGCTGTTCAACTTGCGGGACTGTCTTCCCCTTTTAGTTCCCCGACTGAGGATCAAACCCTCGCCCTCGGCAGTGAAAGCACAGAGTTCTAGCCACTGGACCGCCAGGGAATGCCCCCATTCTGGTTCTTATGCCAGGTGTCCTTTTAAACGGGTCACATGCATTGACTCCTTAAATCACGCTTTCAGGTAGAGCTCAGCAGGGCCCACCTTGGAGGGGCAGGCCCTGGCCTGGGGTGCACGGTTGCAGAAGCGGAGCCCAGTGTTATCTGCGCCCCAGGCTCTGTGCTCTTCTCCAAGGAGTAGGAGTAGGGGCAGGAGGGGGGCTGGACTCGCAGTACTGGGGCTCTGAAGCCGCCGGCCCCGGTTGCAACTCTGCTGGTCTCGCTCCACCAGTCGGACCCTTTAGGGCTGAATGCAACCCCCCTGCCCCAAGACTCAAGCTTGGTGGAAACCCCCCTGGCTGAGAACAAGCCCCGAAAGCGGCAGCTCTCGGAAGAGCAGCCCAGCGGCAATGGCGTGAAGAAGCCCAAGGTGAGTGTGGGCGGGCCGGGGTGGGCGGGCAGCTGGCAGGCAGTCAGAAGGTGGGGCTCGCAGCGGTGCAGCCCGGCCAGCTCCCCTGACCTCAGACCTTGGATTCTTGCTCCAGATTGAAATCCCCATGACGCCCACGGGCCCGTCAGTCCCCAGCTCCCCCAGCATCCCAGGAACCCCAACGCTGAAGATCTGGGGCACGTCCCCTGAAGATAAACAGCAGGCAGCTCTCCTCCGACCCACAGAGTGAGTCCCTGCTGCTGCCCATCCTGGATGGCTGGCCTGCCCAGGACCGTGTGTTTGCATGTGGCGGGGTGGGTGGCGGGCAGGGCGTCCGTCTCCTCACTGCTCTGTCTGTGCCCCCAGGGTGTACTGGGATCTGGACATTCAGACCAACGCGGTCATTAAGCACCGGGGGCCTTCGGAGGTGCTGCCTCCGCACCCCGAGGTGGAGCTGCTCCGCTCGCAGCTCATCCTGAAGCTCCGGCAGCACTACCGGGAGCTGTGCCAGCAGCGAGAAGGTACTGCCCCACGTGCCCGCCCCGCGAGCTGGGGCTGGGCCACCGGCGGGAGCTGGGACCCGGCCAGTGGGAGCGGGGACCCGGGGGCTGAGCGTGTGCGCTGGAGGGGCCCGGCTCCAGTAACTGCCGCTCTGTGACCCCGGCCTTATTGACCAGCCTCTCTGCACTCGAGTTTTGCCATCTGTAAGACAGCAGTGGTAACAGTGCCTGTGTGAGGGTGCCCGCCTAGCATCCGCAACACCCAAACAACAACAAACAGTCGTCACCACTCGGCAGTGCTCGCTGTCTGCCAGGCACCGTTCACAGCGTTTCTGTGTATCTGTTACAGGGCATAAAAAGGCGAGCACCTACCCCTCACACAATTACTCCAGGGAGTAAGCGCTTAGTAAACTGTAGCTTTTATTAATAGATAAGCCTGCTTAAACTTGGCTGAGATAGAGAATCCCTCCGTCCCCTCGTTACCCCGTGTTCCCTTTATGAACTGGCAGTTCTCAGGACACACTTCAGGAGCTGTTGCCTGGGACAGCTCCTGCCATGGCAGGGGCGGCCCCTTGTTTACTGTGGCACTTCCAGCGCCCACACAACGCCTCCGGTGCCGCCCCGTGGAGCCTGCTGACTGAATCCGGATTTTGACATGGTGTCCTGTCCCACAGGCATTGAGCCCCCCCGGGAATCCTTCAACCGCTGGATGCTGGAGCGCAAGGTTGTGGACAAAGGCTCTGACCCCCTGTTGCCAAGCAATTGTGACCCGGTGGTGTCACCTTCCATGTTTCGCGAAATCATGAATGACATTCCCATCAGGTACGTGCGCCCCCTGGCCAGGCCAGCCAACCCCGGCCTTGTGGTGTGTGTGCCCAGGCCAGGGTGGGCAGCTCGCTCTACCTGCTCTCTGACCCAGGTTATCCCGAATCAAGTTCCGGGAGGAGGCCAAGCGTCTGCTCTTCAAGTACGCAGAGGCGGCCAGGCGGCTCATCGAGTCCAGGTTTGGCTCTTGTCTCCTGACCCAGCATGACGGGGCTCCGGCCAGCGCAAGGGGAGGGCCTGGGCCTTCGGGCCCGCCCCCGGGGCCCGGTCATGCCGCTTGGTGGCCGGATGGGGCCTGCTCCCTCAGACAGCAAGGGTTGCTCTGTCAGCCTGGGTGTTGATGCCCAAACGCCAGTGGCAGTGGAACGGGAGAAGGAAGGAAGGGGCAGCGGGTACTTAACAGGCGGCCCCTTTATGCGCCCTCAACTGGCAGGAGCGCGTCTCCTGACAGCAGGAAGGTGGTCAAGTGGAACGTAGAGGACACCTTCAGCTGGCTGCGGAAGGACCACTCCGCCTCCAAGGAGGACTACATGGTGAGTGGCCCTGGGCAGAAGGCCACTGCCTCCGAGAAGCCCACTCTGCCTGCCGAGGCCAGGCAGGCCCCCACGGCAGCCGCCTCCTGTGCATTTGGCCGACCTTTGACACTCATCAGTCCCCCAACTCATGTCTGTGGAGCTGTTCCTCTCAGCTCCTGGCTTTCTCCCAAAGAACACTTCCATTACGGTTCTTACTAGAATCCTGTGCTTGCCCACACACCATAAGTAGCTGCCTTTTCAACTTAATGAATGTTCAAGGACCTCCCTTTAGATTTTTGGAAAACAGATGGACAGACTGCCTTTGCTTGGTGTGTGTGGCCCTACTGCAGTTCAGAGCTACCACCAGATTCAACCGCCCACTTTAACAAGTCCAAAACAATTCTGTTTTCTGGCCTAAACCCATCACTCTTCAACTCTCCACCAGCACTAGCAATGGGCTTTCTTTTCAGGACCATTTTTCACAAGAGACAAGGTTTCGCACTTCACGATAGTAACTGTGTACTTGACACGTAGAGAGTGATAAAGGTAGGTGACCTCACTAGCAAGAGTGACTCATTTTCACCCATCACTTTGACATGTGCAATTCAGCATAATTACAAAGGCCTACAGTTAACCTTACAAATCGCTGAAGGCTCAAATCCAAATCTGCAGTGGCCAAAGAGCCTCTGTTCTACAGCAGCCTTTCTCCGCATAGACTGCAGATGCCTTGTAAGCAGGGATTATGCCTGGTTTGTCTGTTTCCCCAGCAAGTATCGAGATTTGCCCTAGTGTAACCCCAGGAGTAAGTGCTGGCTTTTGTTAGATACGTAACTGTACCAAGGGCTTGGCAGATCCTTAATGGGAGTGACTGCATTTAATATTCAAACTGCCTTGTTAGGTAAGTATTTTGTGTTCCCTTAACTGTTGAGGAATAAGATTCAGTGATGCCAAGGGATTTGTCTAAGTGACACAGCTAGTAGGTAGCAGAACCTGTTTCAGGACGAGGACAGTTGGGATCTGACAGCCCTCCCACGTCAGCCCCCAGAGCCTGACCAGGAGCCTCTCTCCCCCAGGATCGCCTGGAACACCTGCGGAGGCAGTGTGGCCCCCATGTCTCGGCCGCAGCCAAGGACTCCGTGGAAGGCATCTGCAGCAAGATCTACCACATCTCCCTTGAGTACGTTAAACGGATCCGAGAGAAGCACCTTGCCATCCTCAAGGAAAACAACATCCCAGGTAGGGCGCCAGGTGGTACAGAAGGGACAAGTAAGGCTGAGTTTCAAGGCCATGGACTGGCTCGGGGAGGCCCGTTTCTCCGAGCAGTGGGACCTGCTGTGTGACCTTCGGCTCGGGGGTTTCCGCGCCCTCTAGGAAACAGAAGTGATGAGAAAGGGAGGGCTGGAGGTGTGAGAGAGAGACGGGGAGGTAGTTAGGCGGACCTGCTCTTATGTCGCTCTGCAAGCCTCACTGAGGGGTGACACCTAGCTACATGAGCGTGTGAGGATTTGGGGACCTCCGAGTGCTGGGCCCCAGAAGAGCCCTGCGCACGCTATCATGACTGTTAGCAGGCGGGCAGCAAGCCCACAGCTTGCCCACCAGGCCCCAAGGCACGGTGGCCTGAGTCGGCTCAGAGTGTGCTGGCGTGGGCCCCCACTGCTTGCTCCCGCCAGTTGCCCAGCTGTCTCCTTAGTTACCGAACCGTCTGAGCTACGGTTGGGCTTCCCTTGTGGCTCAGCTGGTGGAGTCCGCTGCAATGAGGGAGACCTGGGTTCGATCCCTGGGTTGGGAAGATCCCCTGGAGAAGGGAAAGGTGACCCATTTCGGTATTGTGGCCTGGAGAATTCCATGGACTGTATAGTCCGTGGGGTCACAAAGAGTCGGACACGACTGAGCGACTTTTTGTTCACATCACTTCCCTGAGCTGCAGTTCGCTCCTCCCCGGGATGGGACTTACCTCCCCTGGTCCCTGGGATGCACGTGGGAAGTGCCTGGCCCTGGGCGGGCCGGGGCTGTCCGTGGGTGACAGCCCGTGGGTGACAGCCCGCGCGCTCCTGCCCGCAGAGGAGGTGGAGGCGCCCGAGGTGGAGCCCCGCCTGGTGTACTGCTACCCGGTGCGGCTGGCCGTGCCCGCGCCCCCGGTGCCCAGCGTGGAGATGCATGTGGAGAACAGCGTGGTCTGCATCCGGTACAAGGGCGAGATGGTCAAGGTCAGCCGCAACTACTTCAGCAAGCTGGTAAGAGCCCCGGCGGGCAGGCGGCCCGCGAGGGAGGCGGGGCCTGGAGCCGGCCGCGGGGCGGCGGCGGCTGAAGCCACTGCTTTCTGCCCCGCAGTGGCTCCTTTACCGCTACAGCTGCATCGACGACTCCGCCTTCGAGAGGTTCCTGCCCCGGGTCTGGTGTCTGCTCCGCCGGTACCAGGTACTGGCCGGGGTGGCCGGGGGCGGGCTGACCCGGAGTGGGGGTAGGCGGCCCAAGGCTGAGCCAGCTGCCCCGCAGATGATGTTCGGCGTGGGTCTCTACGAGGGCACGGGCCTGCAGGGCTCCCTGCCGGTACACGTCTTCGAGGCCCTGCACCGGCTCTTCGGCGTCAGCTTTGAGTGCTTCGCCTCACCCCTCAACTGCTACTTCCGCCAGTACTGTTCCGCCTTCCCCGACACAGACGGCTACTTCGGCTCCCGCGGGTGAGCGCCCCGTGCTGCTGGGCCTCCTGCCGGGCAGCGTCCTCCAGGGCACAGAGCCCACTGAGTCAGCTGCTTCCGGATGCTGGAGAGCTAGGGGCCTGGGTGGTGTCGGGTGGCGTCCCTGCCTCCCCCCAACCAGGCCTGTGGCCATGGACACGCTGCTGCAGGCCTGGGAACCTATGCCAGCCCGACCCAGCGGGTGGCGCTCAGTAAACTATCCCGGGTTGGGAGGCGGAGCACCTGGTCCCTCAGCGAGCGGATGGGCGTTGTGGCGGGTGGGCACAGAGGCGGCCAGGCCAGCGGGAGGGCGAGCCCGGCCGCCTGGTGGTCACTGGGTTTGGGCTCCACCTCCTCCCCTAACCAGCTCCATGGACTTGGGCCCCAAGCCTGAGCCTCTCTGTCCTCAGCCATTCAACAGAGCTGGCCATCTCTTGTCCCAGTACAAATCACGGGTGACCCTTGGCCCTTGGCCTGACCAGAGCTCCCTCTTCAAAGGGCTGTCTGTGGTGGGGGTGGCAGGTGTTCTTGGTGGAGGGGCTGGGTCCTGGTGGGACCTACATGTTCGCCTCTGCCCCCAGGCCCTGCCTGGACTTCTCCCCGCTGAGCGGTTCTTTTGAGGCCAACCCTCCCTTCTGCGAGGAGCTCATGGACGCCATGGTCTCTCACTTCGAGGTGGGTGTGTGACGGTGTGGGGGGTTGGCTGGCAAGCCCGAGGACCAGTGGCCTGGAGTGCAAGCCCCTGATATTCTCCCTGGGGGCCCTCCCACAGAAACTGCTTGAGAGCTCGCCAGAGCCCCTGTCCTTCATCGTGTTCATCCCCGAGTGGCGGGAACCCCCAACCCCAGCGCTCACCCGCATGGAGCAGAGCCGCTTCAAGCGCCACCAGCTGGTTCTGCCTGCCTTCGAGCACGAGTACCGCAGCGGCTCCCAGCACGTCTGCAAGAAGTGGGTGCTGCGCGGGCGGGCGGGCGGGCTGGGCAGGCTGGGCGGGAGGGCCCGTCTGGGCTCACTTGGCCAGGCCCTCCTTTGAGCCACCGCCTTTCCCACAGGGAGGAAATGCACTACAAGGCCGTCCACAACACGGCCGTGCTCTTCCTGCAGAACGAGCCCGGCTTCGCCAAGTGGGGGCCCACGCCCGAGCGGCTGCAGGAGCTGAGCGCCGCCTGCCGGCAGTCGGGCCGCAGCCACGGCTCCAGCGGCTCCGCATCCTCGGAGGCCAAGGACCGGGACTCAGGCCGGGAGCAGGGCCCAAGCCGAGAGCCGCACTCCACTTAACACAGCCTGTGGGGAGGAGAAGCCCCTGGGTGCTGCTGTGGACTGCTGGGGCTCTGGGGGTGGGGTGGACCCCAGGATCCACCTCCTGGGGCCGCCGCCGATGACATAGGAAGACGTGGCTCTGCCAGGGTGTCCCCTCCCTGCCCACGTCCCCCCAACTCCCCACCTCACACTCACTCCAGGCCCCCTGTAAATAGTCCCCGTCCTTCCCTCCCTTCACCCCATCCTGTTGCCACCTTGTTTCATTTGTAAAAGGAAATACAGAAACCCCCCCCCCCCCCGCCCCGAGAACGTGTGAGGGTCTTGAGGGCAGAGCAGGCTGAGGAAGCTGAAGCCACTCGCAGGACCACAGCCCTCCACTGCACGTCCAGGTGCACCTTCTCATGACCCCTGGGCCTGCACACTCAGCCCCAGGCTCCAGTATCTAAATTCTCGTCCTGCTGTCCCCACCACTGGTCCCTGGTGGCCTCTGCTTGTGCCCAGGAAATTTGAAGGGTCCAGAGGCCAGCGTCAACCATTTGCAAGCCCCGAGCTCCCACAGCCAGCAGCAGCTTCACTGACACCTCGGGAGTGGCGGGCAGGTAGAAACCTAGATGCCTGGCACCACCAGCGTGGGCAGCTGGCTGTGTTTTACAGTCGAGGGCCAGGAGGAAGTGCAGCTTTGGCCTCGGTGCAGGTACCTGGCTGTGTACCGAGGACCTTGAGGCATGGGCCAGTGCTCCCCTGGGGCTGGGGAGGACGCAGCATCCGAAGGTGCTGTCCGCTTTCCCCAGCCTAGCAGTGTCTCCGGGTGCCAGGCCGCTGCCCCGTGGGTCTGCGCTCCTGGGCCACTGTACTTACAAAGGCAGGGCAGGGTGCACCTCAGGCCAGCAGCTCCCACCTCAGTCCCACCCTCGTGGGCTCTAACAGCTCCTCTTCCTGCTTCCTAAGGCCTTGCCTGGTTCCAGCTGTAGCAGCACATGGACAAAGGGAGCGGACCAAGGCTGGACTCTGGTCCTTTTATTGAGCCCGAGACCAGTGGGTACATACCAACAAAAATAAATTTCTCTCCCGAAGCCTGCCTGCAGGCTGGGGCCCCCAGCGTGTCCTGGCTGGTGCCCATGGCTGTCCCCCAACCCCAGCAGCACAGGTCTGGCTCCCCAGGAGTGACAGGATGCTGGCTGCTCAGTATCTGGAGATCCCAGGTGCAGCAGGGAGGGAGTCCCCGTGGGCCTCCACCCCCAGCAGGGCAGGCCCCATCAACATCCACAGTTGGCGCTGGGCTCCTGGGGCTCAGTCATCGCTCAGGGTGATGACGTCGTATTCGATGCCCTGGTGCTGCAGCTGTTGGATGTGTTCAGGCACCGCCTCCTCCGTGCCAAAGAGGCCCTGGGCTTGGGCCATGGCAGCGTCAGCCACCGCTGCCGGGGAGGGGAGAGGACGGTGACCTAAGGCCCAGGAACGAGGCCTGGCTCCCAGGCCCCCAAGGCCTAGCCCCATACCTGTGACAGCTGAGTGTGCCGCAGCCTCAAGCTGGGCCTGGGTGACCAGCTGCTGGCCCGGGGACACAGGCACATACTGGATCTGGAGGAGAGAAGCCGATGAGACACGGCTCTATGGGCCCCTGCCCAGGCCTCTGCTCCCCTGGCTCCCCAGGGCCTCTACCTGGGACTCCTGAAGGAACGGGGCCCCTTGATCATACTGGATGTGTGTGATCTGGCCCTCCTGTACCTGGAGAGAGGAAGCCTGTGTAGTGACCCTGGGAGGGGGTGTTGGCCCCTCTGCCCCGCTCCCCCAGCCTTTTTCCAGGCCTGGCCTACCTGGATGTGATGGCCCTCAGGCACCACCACATATTCCTGGGGAAGGAGCTGCTGCACTCCGTCCGGAGAAATGATGTACTGTACCTGAGAAGGGAGGAGAAGCAGGTGCTGGCAGCCTGCCCCCCAGGAGCTCCACGAGGAAGGCAGAGCAGGGTGGCCAGGGACACCCGCCCCCCCCCCCCCATCAGCAATGGCAACTGCAAGGATGGACCCCCAGAGGGATTGTTTGCAAAGTGTTGTCCCCCCTCCTCCTGGGAGCAGGACGTGGGGTGGGGAGGGTGGGCACCCCTGGCCCAGGTGGTCAGCAGCAGCAGCTCACCTGGTTATCAGATGTCACCAGGTGTTGGACCATCTGGCCGTCTGCTGTGGTGATCTCTTGGATGTAGGCAGCTTCCTCCTGTCATGGCCAAGCCAGCTCTAGCTTCAGATTTCTAGGTGCCCCCACCCCTGTCCCCAGCCTGCCAGTGGAGCCCCCAAACTTAGGCTCTCACCTGATTGCTCACTGTCTGTTCCTGGGCCACGAAGATGTGTTCCTGACCCAGTGCCTGTTGGAGCCGCTCGGGACCCAGGACCCCGTGACTAGACTGGAAGGCAGCTGGGCAGAGAGGAGGGGGAACGTCGCTCAGGTTGCAGGGCAACATGACATGGCCCGGCTCCACCCCAGCCCGAGGGTGTGCGCTGGGGCAGTGGCTCCAGGCCCGGGTCCATCCTGGAGTGCCGCTCACTGTGCAGTGTGGCCAGCGTCTCGTCATCACTGTTGAGGATGATGGTCTGGGTGGGGGGCCGGGCTGGAGCCCGTGCAGGGGGGGCTGCCGTCTTCCTCCCGTCAGGGCTGTGGAGCCGTTGGATGTGGAACTTGAGGTGCCCGTTGCGGTTGAAGCTGAGGGGGGAGGATGCTGGTTCAGGGGCGGTGCCCCCCACCCCCCGCAGGCCCGGCAGCCCCGGAGGGCCTCACCCAGCCTCACCGCTGCCCGCAGAGCTGGCACTCGAAGGGCTTCTCGTTGGTGTGGGTCAGCATGTGCCGCCGCAGGTCCTTCTTGTTCTTGGAGGCAAAGCTGCACTGGCTGCACTGGTGGGGCCGCAGACTCGAGTGCTGTGCCATGTGGGCCTGCGGGCGGGGTGGAGGCAGCGCTGCTCAGGGCCAGCGGCTCCCCGCGCACCAGCCCGGTGCCCACGGTCTCCTGCTGCTCTGCAGGCGCTGGGGGGGACCCCGCTGGCTCCATCGTGAGGCCGCTCAGAGAGCCCAGCCCCTGCTCACCCTCAGGTCACCCCTGTGAAATGTACGGGCTCAAAGAGGGGCCTCTGAAGGTCGCTCCCAGCCCCAACACTCTGGGTTCTGGGCCCCCCTCCCCTCATGGAGCTGTGTGAGAATTCGGCAGGCAGTCGGATCTAAGAATTCGTCCTTCTAGGGAACGGAGTCCTAGGAACCTCCCTGGGATTGATAACTCTCAGTCTTCTGGAAAACTCGTGTCTCCCCGGCCACCTCACGTTACCACCCCTCTGCTCCTGCCGGCCCAGCTCAGCCATCACCTCCAGGAAGTTCCCCCAGCACCCCAAGTCCATATGACTCATTCCCTGAGTGTGTGTGCTGAGTTCACCCTGGGGACAGTCAGATGTTAGTCCCCGCCTGGTGTGTCTCCCCCTCAGACTCGGCCCCCTGAGAGCTGGGGCCTTGCTGAGTCACCTCAGCCCAGTGGGGAGTGGAAGGTCCGGCCTGGAGGGTGCTCAGTCAAGCTTTGTTACACAGATGGGGGCCAGCAGAGGAATGGGGCACCTACCCGGACCTCGGGCCACTGGCGAGCGCTGAAGGGGCAGTCAGGGCACTTGAAGGCTCCCGGCCCGGCGTGGGCCCGTTTGTGACTCTCCATCTCTGCTCGGCCAGTGAAGGCCTCGGCACAGATCTTGCAGGAAAACTTCTTTGATGAGGCAGTAGCTGCAGATGGCGGCGAGGGGGGCACTACGAGGCCCAGGGGTTTGCTGGCTGCAGGAGGTGGGGAGGCAGAGCCCTGAGGGTCCCTTGGCCGGTGGGTCCTGGCTGGAGCCGGAGGCTCAGGGCCATCTCTGGGCAGCCCCCCGTACTGCAGGAGGGGCCACTTGGTGCCGGAAGCCAAGGCGTCGGTACTTGGGAAGGAGATGGAGCCGTCTGCAGTCAGCTGTGGAGAGGGGGCGGGGCATGAGGGGAAAGGGCGGTGCGGAGGGGCGGGGGCGGGGAGAAGAGGGGGCGGGGCAGGGCCGGGCTCCCTCCAGCCTCACCTGGATGTGGTGCAGTTGGGTCCCGTCGGCTGCCATGATGAAGTGCGTGCCAGCTTCTTTCAGGGTGTCACCCACGACCACGGCCTGGGCTGCCTCCCCCGGGGGCTCCTCGCTGTGGGCACAGATGCCAGGACTGGGAAGCTGAGTTCCAGCAGAGAATGGCGGGCCACGGGAGCCCCTTCTTGGGACAGCCCTCCTTGCACGGTGGACCACGGCCACCACAGACTGGCCCCGGGCTCCTCCCTTTACCAGCGGGAGCTCTGCTGCCTTTCACAAGCAGGGACCCAGTGTCCACTGTACCATCCAGCTCAGCAGTGGTCATCCCCACCCCCTCACGGGCATGCAGTGATGAGATGAAGGGCTCCAGGGATCAAAACCGTCTGACCAAGTGGGGCAGAAGAGGGTGAGCAGGGGAGGCAGGGCTCCTGGCTCCCATCCCGGCTGAACCATCCGGTACTGGAATTCAGGGCTTCCTCCGATGGCCCAGGGATTCAGTGAACATGGAAAACGAACATTTCTGCCCTAGACTCGCTCTGCCTAGAAGAACCCAAGTGCAGCGGTAGGGCCTCTGATGTCGCTGAGGAGCCCAAGCGTGTGACGAAGGTCAGAACTGGCCAGACCCCAGGGATCCAGAACCAGGAGCACGTGGCCCATAGGCCTGGCTCAGACCCACAGCGCGTCTGACTTTCGGGGAACTACTGCACTCCCTCCTCACGTGTAAACTGAGGGAAACACGCATCCCACAGGAGTGGTTAGCTGAGTCCACGACTATCAAGTGCCTGCAATTTCTGAAGCAGCCCTTAACCCGAGAGGGACACCATACCCTTACAGCCCAATCGTTTTACCTCCTGTGAACTAGGCGTGGGTGGGCGGGGTGCTCCCCTCACTCCCCGAAGCACACCTATAAATGGCCGCAGGGCTCACCTGTAAGGCGTGCCGGGAGTCGAC